CAGTGACATAACCATTATGCCATCTGCTGGCCCCAAGCCTCCTATTGTTAGTGTCTGGGTCCACAGTGATGCACAAAGCAGGCAAAACTTCCCACCTGGCCCATCCTGATGGTACAGTTGGTAGAGTAAGAACTGCTGTGCTGGAGGCCACAGGGTCAACCACAGCTCAGATCCCTAGGGTGGCTTGAACACACACCAGGCGTGTGTGTACACATGTCCATGATCCTAATGATCTGGAGAGCTGGGGAGGGGAAATTGCAGCATGTTGAGGGTCTCTATCTTTCATGCTCTCTATCATGAAGGAAAATACGCTTAAAAAAACCACCCTTGTGGAAAAAAAACCCACATTCTAGTGCATGAAAACAGACAAAAAGTAATCAAATGTTAGCTCTCTAAAATATATAAATGCTATGTAGAAAAATAATGCATGGAAGAGGAGAAGAAGTGCCAGAGGCAGGGTTGCACTAAAGTGGGGTGGTCAGGAAAGGCCCCATTTGGGGAAATGGCATTTAAGCAGAGAACTTAAAGAGACGGTGAGTGTTGCGGGCATATGGGAGAAGAATTTTGCAGGCAGAAGGAACAGCCAGTGCAAAGGCCTTGAAGCAGGAGTGCACTGTCATATTCTAGGAGCGATGAGGAGGCCGATATGGACAGGGTGATGCCGATGGGGGTAGAGTGAGCAAGATTTTTTAAAATGTGAAATGAAATAATAAATATGGTATTCTCCTTGATTAAATTATTGCACAATATGTGTGTGCTTTGAGAATCCATATTCTACTCCGCAAAGTCGTGCAACAATTTAATGTAAATAAGAAATCATGAAATAAAATAAAAGGGGAAAATGTGAAATGTCCCTTTGAGACAAGACTACTGGCAGGCTGAGCTGGGTCATTTAGGAGGAAACCAGTGAGAAGGGGCAGTATGGGTACAGAGAAGGTAAGAAGAGGTTAGGGAGAACAGCTTGGGCAAAGACAAGACCTGAGGTGGCTCATCCTATTCGAATGTGAGCAACAAGTTGCAGGAGTGGAGCAGGGCTAGGGAGAGGGGAGGGATGAGGCTGGAGGAACCAGGCGAGCCAGGTGGAGAAGAGCAAAAGAAGCAGGAAGGCATCTTCAGAGAAAGTTGTGTCAGAGAGTGGGAGATGGGCCTTAAGATCTGAGAGATACACAGCACAGCCTGGCAGCTCAGACTACAGCATATTGGACTACAGTGCTGGAAGCCACATGGCCAACCAGGGTTCGGATACCCAGCCTACTCAATCTGAAATGCACAGGTGGCCAAGATCCCGACAGGCTGTGGTGGGAGGCTGTGCGCTGGTGAGTCTGCCAAGGTTTTTCAGAGAGCAAACAATTGCCATGATTGGTTCCCTTCAAAAAACCTGACCTTCAAAACCTTGCTCTGATTGGCCACTAGAATCTCTCAAATTTGCATATCCAGCACCTCATGATTGGTCCAAAAGCAACCAATCACGGCCCACTGTTTACAACCAATCACGGCCCACCGTTTACAACCAATCACGGCCCACCATTTACAACCAATCATGGCCCACCGTTTACAACCCACCAGCGTGTATATAACCATGATGCCTGGCCCACAGTAACCAGATGACGATGATGACCAGGAAGATGACGACTGAAGAGCCTGAAGAGCTGACACTGCATCGTCTCCAGACGAACTGTGACACTGCGTTGTCTCTGTGTTGTACCGTGCTGCCCACAATAAATGGACGACACTGTCGTCTCTGTGCTGTAACACTACGCTGCTTGTCCCGGCTCTCACTCCTTCACTCAGGAAACCTGTTCGGCTGTTCCCCCGGGTCGGGACAAGGCTGGAGGAAGGGGATCATGACATGACCAGATCTTATCAAGGGCTCTGTCTCTCTCTCTGCTCACTCTTTACTATAAAATTAAAAACCAAAATAAAAGACCAGCTGGTAGCATAGTGGTTAAGGCAGTTGGATCCCACATGGCAGCCTGTGCGGTAGAGTCCAACATCTGATGGCTTGAAAAACACACCAGGCATATGTGTTTGTACCCAAAATCCTGAGAGGAGAATGGAGTGGAAGAAATGGTAGTGTGGCTCTCCTCCAAGGTGTGTGTGGGAGGCCTTCTCACTTTCCCTCTCTGTTTCTCTCCAGTAGGATACATGTCCTCAGGCAAAAATTTAAATTAAAAAAAAAAAAAAGATTTGAGAGAGAATTTGAATGGTACAGGGTAACTTCAAAGGGTAGAAGGGACCATGGAGAGAGCTGAAGGAAAGACCCGAATGGTCAGGGGGTGAGAGAGCGAGTGGGATGGCCATGTCTCCAGGATGACAGCAGGACTTGGGAATGTGTGGAAGACCAGCCAGACTTCTGCCTTCCTCACTGTGGGTCCAGGGATATCTGGGACCTCCCTAATGGGATCTCCCAGCTGCAGGGGATGTGAGAGAATGAGCCAACACCACTGGGGGGCACTGCAAGAGGAGCCTGTCCACTCCGGAGCCTCCAGTCCTGCTTCCTTTTCCTGCTCCTCCCTCAGTCCTCTGGAACTGCTCTCTGGACGGTAGCTGGTACTTCCCTGGCACTTGGCTCCAAGTGGCCCTGCCAGGCAGTGCCCAGGCTGGGCTGAGGAGTCAGGGTACAGGAAGGGGAAGCCCCCTTGGTTTCTGTCTCAAAACAGGGACCCAGAAGGGAAACCCCACAGGTCCCAAAAGGAAAGTGGCAGCAGTGGGCCTTGGGGAAGACCATGAAAACCCCATCCTCTCCCTGAAGATGGGAAATCCAGGGTGGGGCCGAGGGTGGAGCTGTGCTGGAAGGGAGATCTGTGGTTGATGCAGTAGTCTCTGTAGAGCAGAAATACCATATTATTCTGGGTCCTACTGAACCCTGATCCTGACCTCACACAACCCCAGCTTGCCCACAGGCTGAGCCCTGATCTTGGTCATTGACTGAGATCTTATCCCAGCCCTCACCCAAGCTCTCACCTGAGTCACGGCCTGTCAGAACCTTTGCCACAAAACCACCCAGTCCCTGATCTGAACTGAGCCCTAATCCAAACCCAGATCAGACCCAAGAAGAGCCCTAGGTCACCAATAGCTCTGGCCCCAACAGACAGCCGGAATGCTGGCCCCTGTTTTGCTCAGAGTCCCGCCCTAGTGATAGATGAGCTCTCTTATATCTGACTCTGGCCAAAGACTGAGCCATTGGCTCCGGACACAGTCCCCTCTATGGTCCCACATGTGGCCTCTAATTTGGCCTCATGCAGCCCTATCCTCATTACAAACTGAGATCTGTCTATTTGTCCATCCATCCATCTATTTATATACTTACTATTTTTTAACACCAGAGAGAGAGAGACGGGGGCGGGGTGGGGGGGGGGGAGAATGTCCCAACAGGACCTGATCATGCTGCAACTTTTTTCCATCAGTTCTCTATCCCATCAAGATCTTAGACATGCATGCATGCACCTGTCAGGGTTTTTTTTTTTTTTTCTTCTTTCTTTCTTTTTTTGGAGAGGTTTTAGCTACAGGGCACGTGCGGTTTTGCTACAGGGCACATATGCTCACTAGAAAGTCAGAGAGAGAGACAGAAAGCGAGAAATCACCCCCCAGGGGAGATGGCCATGCCACAATCCCTTCTCCTCCATTTTCCTCTCGGGATCTTGGGAACGCACACATATGCGCCCAGTGGGTTCGGGACTTGAACCACGGTCGACTACATGGAAGTTCAGCAACATAGCCATTACGCTAACTGCTGGTCTCACCTGGCAGGTTTTTCAAGCCACCAGGGCCAAGACTCAAACACTGGTTGGCCACGAGGGATCTGGCTTCCTCTGTGCAGTGTTAATGGCTGACTACAGGACCGGCTCTAGACAGAGCTCTAATCTCAGCCCTACTGCCATCAGGCTGCGCCTCTGCCTGCCCCACACAGACTCATCCCAGCCACACATTGCGTCTTCTTGCACCCCTCCCTCAGTCATCTGGTAAGCCAGAATACAGTAAGGATGACTCACAAAGTACCCCAGGAACCCTCTAGTGGGCAATCTCCTCACCTGGCCATCCAGCTTTTGAAGGACAGTGGCTGGTGATGGCTCTGGGATGATGAGGACAGAGTATAGCAGGAGAGTATGTGAGTTTCTGGGGTCTCCCAGAGCATGGAGCTGGATGGCTCACCCAAGAGTGGAGAATTGAAGGATGGGCTTGACCAGGGAGCTTAGCACAGGGTCGAGAGCCTGGATTGACCAAAACCCCAGCTTCCCGCCACCCCCCAGCAATACCTCCCACCCCCTCTGGGAAGGGAAATTACATTTCCCCATTTTAGCAAGGGGTGGTGAGGAGGGAAGACTGAGTGAATACAAAGCTGAAAGTACAAGCAGGACGGAAAGTGAAACCGGCACACCCCCAGTATAAGACTCCCCTGGCCTGGGAGATGGCTGGCCAAAGAGGCGGGGCCCTGACATGGGCCAGATGGCAGGCGACCTTGGCTGGCGTGAGTTTGAGGCCAGGGCTGGGGGTGGAGGGTGGGGACTTGGCTGAGTGTGGGCAGAGGATGGGAGAGCTCACCTGGTATTTGTAGGGGCTGAGAGCTGAGGGCAGCCACTTGACAGTCTGCGGACACAGCTGGATGCAGATGGGAATGAGGCTGCCATGAAGAGGCAGGGGGCTGGTTTGACCCAGGGCTGAGCAGAGGATGGGCCAGCGTGGCTGGCATGAATAAGGAGGGTGGCAGAAGTGGCTGGGTAATATTTGAACAGACCTGGGCAGAGGATGGGAAGCCTTGGCTAGCTTGATCGGGATGCCTTGGGCAGGTGGTTTGAACAGGACCCAGACTAGGCAGATGAGTGGAGAGTTTTCTTGGAGTGAGTGAGTGGGGGCCAAAGAGCTCAGCTAAAACTGAGACCTAGAGTTAGCTAGAGGAAAGCAGAGGAGCGCTTGGACATGTTGGGGCCAAGGCCATAGACTCAAGTCAGAGTGGGTCAAGGGTCTGGTTGAACTTCGGAAAGAGGTCCAATCTGCAGTGGATGGCTGCAGAGCTCAGAACACAGCTCGAGGCAGAGGAGCAAGTGACAGGGCCAGGTAGAGGCCAAGGCTAGAGGAGGGTCAGAACCTTCAAAGGCCAGGGCTGGATGCAGAAGAAGGAGAGGGGATTTCAGAGCTCGGGCAGGAGGGGCACTTACACAGGAGATGGCCCAGCTCAGTTCTGGGTGGGCAACGTCCACCGGGGCCTAGAGGGACCCACTCTGCCCCCAACACAGAGCTAGGAAGAACCCCTCTCTGCCTCAAGTCTCCCAGATGCTAGAGGGCCAGAAGGGCCACCAAGCCAGAGAACTCGAACACTAGAGATTGTAGGCACTGCCTACCACTTCTGGAGGCCCATGAGGGATGTGCTGTCCCCCAACATCCTTTCTTAGGAAGGCCTTTCAGCAGCAGAGCTCAGGGCTTAAAGATCATTCATGGACAGGGAAAAGGCATGGCGAGGAGCGGGGACAGAAAGACTTGGGGCCACTTTTGCTTTGTGTTTCGGTGAGAGTTGTGTAACTCCAGTGATTGCTAGATTTCCTCTCCCTGAGGGAGAAACCATGGAGCATGGCCCTCTTCCTAGAACCTCTCACCCCATTGCTCCTCTTCCCTCTTTCTTGGGAAACAGGCAGGAAGCACCTTAAGAAGTCAGCCTAATCTGCTGTCCATTTCCCCATTTTCTAGTTGGAAGCCTGAGGCTCAGCAATAAGAGGCGACTTGCTCAGGGGAGCATCGGATGAGGACTAGGTCTTCCTCCTGGGTCCCGGCCCTCCCATTCCCACACTGCAGGGTGGGGTGGAGGCAGAGCCACTCTGTCCTTCGGACTCTAGGACAGAGCCTCCAGCATTGCCAGCCCACACCTGGGGCCCTGTGACCAGTTCAAGCCATCAGAGCTACCTGGCTGATCCTGAGGACCTCTTGGTGGGGCTGAGCACACCCACTCCCAGGGCCGGCGGCTGTGCTCCTTTCAGTCCCCTGGGGAAAATACATGGGCCCTGCCTTTGGACAGAGCTGGGTCCAGTCCTGGCTCCCTCACCGTCTCATCACCTGCCCGTGGGCAAGTCGACCTCATTTTCCTCAACTGCAAAATAGGGATCTAGAGGGCTGGATCGGCACAGCAGTGACTCGATACTCTGCAAGGCTGACACGCATGAGAATGGTCCAGAGACATCCTTGAACACACTGAGCACATTCATGCCCATGACACAGTGATGGCTGGAGCTGGGATCGGGGGGAGGAGTGTGGCATGAGGACCCTGTTGAGAGTGCCTGTCTCCCTGTCTGTGACTCAGAAGGAAGGAAAGAGTAAGAATGAACGAGAGAAAAGGAATGAGAGAGAGGAAGCAAGCAAGCTAGCTAGTGAGCTAGCCTTAAAAAAAAAGGGAGGGACAGCACCATGGCCTTGTGGCTAAGGGAGCTGGATCCCACATAGTCAATCATGGTTCAAATTCTGGCCTCTGTGGGTTGAAAAATAGGCTGTGTGTGTGTGTGTGTGTGTGTGTGTGTGTGTGTGTGTATGGTGTGCATGCATGTGCCCTAAATCCCAACAGGATAGCGAAAGGGAGCAGAAGGGATTATGGCGTGACCATCCCCCACGGGGTGGAGGGCTTTCTCCTTCCTCCTCTTTCTCGCTTTCTATCTGTGTCTGGTGGGTGCTCTTGCCCTCTGACAATTAAAAAAAGAATAGCGAGAATAATAACCCCTAGGCTGCCACACGCAGTTGCGCAGGTGGGTCACTGAAAGGCACTTGGCCAAGAGAGGTGGTGGTCACAGTCCAGCTTTGTATCTGCTCGCAAAGGTGGGCACTTAGGCAGAGAGGCCACATGTTGACCTCCACAGCCCCCATTGCGTTTTCGAGGGGACAGTGCCTGCACAGTGCTCGCACACAGCACGGCCTCAGAAAAGGCATGTTCCCTTTCTTCTGGGTTCTTCTCAAGCTCTCCCCTCACCTCGCCACCTCCACCCCCATCTCTCCAGGGCTCAGCCTGTTGCTGCTTTCCTTGCTCCTGGTGCACGCCGGTGTCTGGGGATTCCCGAGGCCCCCAGGAAAGCCCTCCCCAAGCCTGCAGGAGCTGCGGAGGGAGTTTACAGTCACCCTACAGCTTGCCAGGAAGCTGCTCACCGAGGTTCGAGGCCAGGCCCATCGCTTTGTGAGTCTCCCTAACGCACAGGCTCTGGGGACGGGCAGGCTCCCAGTCACTGCGGCCCCCACTAACAGACCTTGCCTCCCAGGCTGAATCTCACCTGCCCGGAGTGAACCTGGACTTCCTGCCCCTAGGAGAGCAACTGCCCAACGTTTCCCTGACCTTCCAGGCCTGGCGCCGCCTCTCTGTGAGTGAGGGGCTGGTGGGTGGGGCAGAAAAGCTGGTGATAAGACTGGGATAGAATTTGGAAGAGGTTGAACATGTCTTTAGACTTAAAGATGAGGCTGGGGGCTGGAGAGTGGCACAGTGCTAAAACTCAATGCTTTGTGATATTGACCCACGTGGAAAGGTTCTGGGTTTACATCCAAAGATCTCCCTGAGTACACCAGCTATATGCTTGCCTATGATTCAGGGCTGGCTAGGGCATCAAGACCCCATCGGAAGTGCTGTCTCTCTTTGTCTTTCTCTTGGAATAATAATAAAAAAAGACTTTAAAGAATTGAAGCTGGAATAAGGACATGGGGTTAGGAAGAGGGTAAGAGGGAAGATGGATAGGGAAACAAACACACGAAGCTGTCTGCATCTCCAAGTCAGACCACACCATGGAAAAACCTGCTCAGAAATAAGTGTGGATGGGAACGGAATGAGATAGGGGACAGAGGTTAGTATGGAAAAGGGATGGAGTTGGTAGTAGGGATGAGAATGAGGCTAGCCTGAGGTAGAGAAGAAGGTTGGGGAAGAAGGTGAAAGTCAAGTGATGGCTGGAGAAGGGATGGGCTTGCTGGTAGGGATGGGACTAGAATGAGAGTGGGGATAGAACTGGAGATGGGAATGAGTCCCGACTCAGGGAGGAAGGATGAGTTGCCATTAGGGATGAGATGAAGATGGGAAAGTTGGAGACAGGTTGAAGACAAATGAGCATCGGGAGACAGGCGAGTGGAGAAGGGAGGGGGATGGGCTTGCAATGGAGGCGTGAGATGGAGAAGGCAATAGGTTGGCGTTAGAGAAGAGCTCGGGCCTGAGGCTGGAAGTGAGACTGGAAAAGGAGATGAGATCAAGGTCAGGCAGTGAGATGGGAGTGCTAGTGAGCACGGGACGAGAATGGGGTTGGACACAGAGCTGAGGGTGAAAACGAATATGGGGATGGAATGGAGGCTGGAGTTTGGAATGGGAATGAGGCCTAGGGAGAGACAGGGTTGGGAGTGATGTGGGTCATCCTTGGCCCATAGCCTTTCTCAGCCCTTTCTCTCCCCTTCAATAGGACGCAGAACGACTCTGCTTCCTCTCCATGACACTGCAGCCCTTCCACGCCATGCTGGGAAGGCTGGGGACCCAAAGGGGCTGGACCAGCTCAGAGAGGATGCGGCTGTGGGCCATGAGGCTGGACCTCCGGGACCTGCAGCGACATCTCCGCTTCCAGGTAGAGTGTCCACCCACCCCTCAACCCCGGAGACCAACATACAACATTGAGACCCACTGACTCCTTTTTTAAAACATTCTCTAGGGGCCAGACAATGGCATAGTGGTGAAACATGATGCTCTGCAAGGCCGATCCACACAAGAAGGTCTGGGTTCAAGTCTGGAGACCTCCTTGTGTACATCGGGCACTCAAATGTCCATGTTCTGGAGTTGGCCAAGGCTGGGGGTGGATCATGGAGTCATGATCTTATTGGGAGTGCTGTCTCTCTATCTCTGTGTCTGGCCTTCTCTGTCTCTCTCACTCAAGAAGAAATAATCAACTTTAAAACACCCTCTGCCCACAGGTTTAAGTCCGGAGGGATACTCTCCAGATTCTCAGAGAGGGAGAGGGCAAGAGACAGAGAGTGTGTGTGTGAGTACATGTAAGAGAGTATATGTGTCTAGCTGCACCAGGCCCTGGATCTGCTGCCTAAACCTCTGTCTTTGCTTTGGGGACTTTTTTTTTTTTTTTTGGCGGGGGGTTGGGGGTGGGGGTAGCTTTTGCTATAGGGTGTGTGCACTTGCTAGAAAGACAGAGAGAGACAGAGAGACAGAAAGCGAGAAATCACCCCCCGGGGGATGGCCAAGCCACAATCTCTTCTCCATTTTCCTCTTAGAATCTTGGGCACGCACGCACACGCACCCGGCGTGAGTTTAAGCCACTGGGTCCGGGACTCAAACCGCAGTCGACTACATGGGAGTCCAGCAACATAGCCATTACGCCAACTGCTGGTCCCAGGGGATTGGTTTTACATGAGAGCACAGCCTCAAAGCATCCAGAACAGAATCTGGCACCATCAGACCCTACAGGAAAGCTGGTTTCCTTTCCCCTCTCACTCTCTGATGTCACCCAGATCCTCCTGGACATTTTAAAGAGAAATGGGAATTATACCTTTAATAAAAACAGAATAGAAAATGCAAGCAGCACGTAAGCCCTCTGCTCATTTCTGATCCTGAGATAGTCCTTAACAGCAAAGAGGCACTTCTAGAATTCCAACCCCCGGGGCCATCTTAGGGGAGTGGCCCAGCTCCAGGAACATCATCTTGCTCTATGACTTCCATTTTCTTGCACCAAAAAATTAGGACCCATGAGATGATGACATAATGGAAGATCTGAAATAGGGGCTGTTTAGGGAAATCATGGACTTGTGGTCACTGATGTCATTATGAGCCACTGGGCATCAATAAGGGGACTTTAAAGAGTTTGTGAAAATATGGAATCCAAATGGGTTTATTTGGGTATGAATTTTTTTTTGAAATCTATAAATGGCTTTTTCCATCATATTTTCCGTGAACTTTTAAAATAAAGATTGCGTGGGGGCCAGCAGGTGCTGTGGTGGTTGAGGTGCTGGACTCCCACATGGCTAATTGTGGTTCTGGACTTGGTGGCTTGCTTTCTCACTTTCTCTCTCTCTTTCTGATAAAATTTTAAAAATAATAATGATGAAGAAATTTAAATAAAATAATACTTAAAAATAAAGTTTGTTTAATCATAGAGAGACAGAGAAAGAGAGATACATCTTCAACAGCATCTCATCACAGCACAGTCCCCTTCCCACCGCTCATGTCCTCCAGCCAGGATCTGAGTGTGCCTGCCTGGCATGTTTCAGGTCAGTCTGGGATCTGACCTTGGTTGGCCCCGTGGCTTCCGACACTGCGGTTCAGTCCTACCGCTTACATCTCTGTGGCTGGGCCGCCTTAACTTTTTGAAGAGCCTTTGTACAAAGAACAAGGATTTGCTCAGGTTCTCGGCCTGGCCACTCTCTGATCCAGGGGCCTCTCCTCACAGGTGCTGGCTGCAGGATTCAAACTCACTGAGGACGAGCAGAACGAGGAGGAGATGGAGCTGCTCCCAGGGGCTCCAGGCGGTCCCTCACAGATGTCGGCCCCACTGTCCTGGCCCCAGCTGATCTCCACCTACCAGCTGCTGCATTCCTTGGAGCTTACCTTGTCCCGTACTGTATGGGACTTGCTGCTGCTGTCCAAGGCTGGGCACTCAGTCCAGGCCTCAGGGTCCCCAGTACCTAGCTCCAGCCCTGATGGAGTGACTTCTTAGCTCCCTTCCCCTCACCCTTTAGGACTTTAGGACTCCAGTTTTATTTTTATTTTATTTTATTTTGAGAGAGATTTTTGCTATAGGGCACGTACGTTCTCCAGAGAGATAGAGACAGAGACAGAAAGCGAGAAATCACCCCCTAGAGGGGATGGCTACACCGCAATTCCTTCTCCTCCATCTCCTCTTGGGATTTTGGGCACGTGCGCACGCCATGAGTTTTAAGCTGCCAGATCCAGGACTCAAACCACAGTCAACTATGTGGGAGTCCGGCGATGTAACCATGACTCCATCTGCTGGTCCAAGGACTCCAGTCTTAACCAACAGGGCAGATTCCAACTCACTTGCCTTAAACAAGGCAGAACTCTTATTGGCCCCCAGTCCCAGACCTATGCAATAACTTAAGGGCCCTCCAGTCCTTGCCAGGTATTTATTTCTTGGATATTTATTTATTGTTTAGGCAGATAATGATTTATTTATTGTTTGGGGGCCTACTAACCATCCCCGGGTGAGGTCACCATGCTGGGTGCTAAATAAAGCACGCTCCCCCTCTCTCTGCTTCAGCTTCTTTTCAGAGAAGAGGGGCCTGCCACCAAAAGGGTAGGACAGCCTGCAAAGGAGTTGGCACCCTCTGGCCACCCTGAACCTCCCTTCCCTCCTACACAGTTGAGGAGGAAAGGGAGGCCTACCTTTCCCCATCTGGCCTGCTCAGCTGGCAGTTGCCATAGTAACCAGTAAAGCTTTGAGGCTGAATGATTGCTTTGGAAACTCGAGGCAGCAATCCGCTGCCCGTCACCCCGAGTCCAGGTGGTGCTCCGTAGGCCTCCTCAGTCCTTTCCTTTGGGCTGGCTTCAACCCCAGAGGTGGCGTTACTCCTGCTCTGAGGGCTTGGAGCACTGGGGAGAGGAGGGCAGGAAGAGGACATGGGAGGAGGCAGGCTATTGGGAAAACAGTCTCTGTCTCTCTCAGTCCTCTGAACGGCTAAGACACAGGTCAGGGAGTAACCAGGGACCAGTGACAGCAGTTCCCAGTGAGACAGGTGGCCCACCGGCTGGCACAGGAGAATCTGACTCCTTAAGTTGAAGGTTTTCACAGACGCCACCTGCATCACGAATGACACACCAAGAAACTGAGGCCCAGCGGTGGAAAGGAGCGGCAGAGGGTGCTGAGTGAGCAGGTCCAATGGAGCCTTCTGACCCTCCCTCCAGGCCTGCCTTCCTGGACGCTGGGACCCAGTCACTGGGGCTTCGGCTGGCCCAGGCGGGCTTGCAGTTCCTGCATCATGCCAGAGTGTGCAAGGCCAAACCTGGAGGTGGAAGAAGGCCTGTGTGAGCTGGTTCCAGGTGCCCTCGGCCGCCTGCCCCAGCCCAGTGCAGTCCCCTGGGCATACCCGTGTCCCAGAGGCCTTCTCCTGGCTGGCACTGGGGTCCCTTCAGGCTTCGGGGGGCAGGGTGCCGGGGGTTCTTCTAGTTGGAGGGTCTGCTCAGGGACTGACAGCTCCTCCTCAGGCTGAGGACTAGGGGGCTCCTCCTGCGACTCAGGGGCAGGGGTCCGACGGAAGGAGGGCCGGGAGCGCCGCTGTGAGGAGCTTCGTGAGAGGAGCACACGGCTTCGCGGGACCGAGACATCCAGGCGGGACCCAGGGAGCGGGGCCTGCAGGGAAGGGGAGCACAGAGGATGGTGGGGCTGGCCTCCAGGTTCTGCTAGGTCTTCCCTAGACCGCAGGCCCCTCACCTCACTCCAGCTGCTGTGAGCATTCCCACCAGCACTTCCTGCGGCCTCAGAAGCCTCCACATCTCCACGTGGCCCAGGCACAGCCTCCTCATTTCTTGGCAGCTCCTCCGGGCTCGTGACGCTCTCCAGGCCTTCTGGATCAGCCTCCTTGGCCTCTATCCTCTGGCCTCCAGTCATTTCAAGGTCCTCGATGTCAAGGGGCCAGCCCACCTCTCCCTCAAGGCAGTGGTCCCCAAGCAGCCCCTCACTGTCCTTGGCTTCTACCCTCTGGCCTCCAGTTGTCTCAGTGTCCTCCATGTCAAGGGGCAGGCCTACCTCTCCCTCAAGGCAGTGGTCCCCAAGCAGCCCCTCACTGTCCTTGGCTTCTACCCTCTGGCCTCCAGTTGTCTCAGTGTCCTCCATGTCAAGGGGCAGGCCTACCTCTCCCTCAAGGCAGTGGTCCCCATGCAGCCCCTCACTGTCCTCAGCCTCCACCCTCTGGCCTCTAATCATCTCAACGTTCTCCAAGTCAAGGGGCTGGTCTGCCTCTCCCTCAAGGCAGTGGTCCCCGTGCGACTCCTCACTGTCCTCCCCCTGCTCTTCTGCATGCCACCCCCCAGCCTCTGTTTCTAGCGGCATCTGCTCTCCTAGTGGCCCTTCAGCCTCCACTGTGACCACGGCGCCCTCTGACCTGACTGTCTCAGAGTCCCAGGTGAAGCAGCCCATCCCATAGCTGCCTTCTGCCACTGCGGGATCCCCAGCCTCGGCCTGCCACCCCTCAGGATCCCCCTCCCTGGCCTCCAGAGACTCTTCTTGGCCCTCTTTGCTAGTCACCTCCACCTCTGATGGGCCCTTCAAGCCAAACGCCGGCCCGCCTCTGTCCTCTCCCTCTTCAGCCTCCACCAGGTCTGCACCTCCCACAGCCTCCTCTCTCCCTTCTGAGGCCCAGCTTCTCCCAAGCTCTCCATCCCAAGCCTCCCCAGTACCAGCAGACCTTACTCCTGGGACTGTGTTGTCCTCCTCAGTCTTGGCAGCCAAAGAAGTGGTCTGCATGTCCTCACTGTCCTGGAGGCTCAGAGCTGCCTCCTCCAGGCCCCAGCCACTCCTAGGTGCTCTGTCTGCCTCCCATGGTGCTGCAGCCTCCACCTCCACCTTAGTTTCCCTGGCATCTGACTCTCCCAATGACAGGCCTGTCCCTGCTTCTGTTCCACAGCTTCCATCCAGACCCTGGTTCTCTGCGGCAGAGGCCGCTTCCTCCTCTGTTCCATACACTGTTTCCTTGGCTGTCTCCTCCCTATCTGCCTCCAGGACCTCTGGTGGTTCAGTCCCTGCACCTCCGCTGGCCTCAGTCTCTGCCACTGCCTCCAGTGCCTGGCCTTCCCCAGCCTCCTCCTCCCCCTCCTCATCATTGGCTTTTTCCTCCTGGGTATTTCCTCCCTCCACATCCCCCCTCCAGCTTTCCCAAGCTTCTGTCTCAGAGACCTCAGGCACTCCATATCCCAGATGCTTGGAATATCCCTGCGGGCTCCTTTCTGCATCCTCCTTGCTCGGGGCTGCCACTCTCCCCAGCTCTCCCCTACCCCCCTGACTGTCCGCAGGTTGCTTTATTGGGGTCTGGGTTCCTCCTATCTGCTCAGGTCCCTGACCTTCGGTGACCTTGGGTTTAAGGCCACCCCATTCCATTTCCAACGCTTCTTGTCTCACCCAGGCCTCCTCACTCCTCTCACCTGTGGACTCCTCCTCGGACCTGACCTCCAAGTCAGTGTCGCCTCCAGCCTCTTGGTCCGGGGGCAGCTCAGCCTCTGTGACCCAGCAACTCCCTTTCTCCTCCTGGGCATCGTTGGCCTGTACCACCTCCTCCAGACCGGCTCCGTCCACCCTGATCTCAGAGTCTTGCCTCCCTTCAGCCTCTTTCCCACATGGCTCTCTCTGGACTCCAAAGCCCTCCCCTGACGCCTCCTCAGATCCCAGGTCTCCCTCAGCCTCTCTCCCTGCTATCTGGCCTTCGGCTATGCCTTCTACTCTCTCGGCCCCTGGGGCCTCAAACTGTTTGGGGAAAAGAATCACCTCTGCCTCTCTCTCCTCAGCCATCTCTCCCTTCTGGTCTCCCTTAGAGGCTTCCTGTAGGACCCAGACTCTCCCAGCAGTCTCTGGGATCCTTTCTCCTGGGACTGGCCCATATTCTGGCTCCCTGATTCCTGGGAGGTCACCCTCCTCCACACCAGAGGTGGTCTCCGCTTCCCCCCTTCCTGAAGTTGTCTTAAACTCCTCCACACCAGGGGCGATCTCAGCCTCCCCTCTTCCTGAGATGATCTCAGCCTCCCCTCTTCCTGAGGTAGTCTCAGCCTCCCCTCTTCCTGAGGTGATCTCAGCCTTTTCCCTGCCTGAGGTAGTCTCAGCCTCCTCCCTGCCTGAGGTGGTCTCAGCCTTCTCCCAACCTGAAATGTTCTCAGCCTCCTCTCCACTTGAAGTGGTCTCAGCCTCCTTCCTGCCTGAGGCTCTCTGGGCCTCCTCTCTGCCCAAGGTTGCCTGGTCCTCAGACTTTGTCCCTAGGCCCAGAATCCCCTGCACCTTTGTGCTTTGGCCACCCCTCACCACTCCCACCACCTCTTCTTCCTTCCTAGGCCCCTCAATTTCCTCTGCCTCCACCTTGATCACCTCCTCTGTCTCTCTGCTGTCCCCTGTCACCTTTTGCCTGTCAGTGCTAGCCTTCCCCTCCGGCTCCCTGTGCCAGGCCCACTCCGACTCCGCCCCTCTGGCCATCCCTGGCTCTGTCGCCTTGACCTCTTCCTCCTCCTCCTCCTGTTCCCAGGTTCTCAGCGTCTCCCCTCTGCTCACTTCCTGCTCTTCAGGCTCCTGCTTTTCTAGGGTATGACTGCTCCTGTCTCGGTGAGCTCCAGACCCTGCCTCAGACTTCTTCCTGGGCTCCAAGAGGGCTCTAGGCTCCCGGCACCTGGCAGTCTTGGCTACCTCCCAGGCCCCCATGTCCTGCCTATCTGCTTGGGACCCAGGGTAGCTGCTGTCTCCCCAGGCCCAGGGCTGTTCTGCAGCTGAGGTTCCCTCTGGTCCTCTTCCAGCCTCTCCAGGTCTTCTCAGCCCTCCATCTCCGCAGCTTTGGCTACCTCTGAGGCTCTCCAGGGCCTCCTGGCCCTCCTCTGCAATCTTTCCTGGTCTTCCCACAGCCTCCTCCAATTCCTCAGCTGCACGCGCCTCCCTCTCTACAGTGGGGACTGCATCTCCCATGAGGTAGGAGACAAAGGTGCTAAGGGAATCCTAGAAGAAAGGGGGGGGGAGGCATTAAGGGGAGTTCCAGCCCTTTCCCTGGGGGCCCTGGGTTAGAGGAGCACAGGAAAAGGAAGGAAAGTTCTGGGATCTGGAAGGAGAAGAGAAAGGGCTGTAGAAGGAATAAGAAAGTGTCTAAATCAAGGGTCTGTGGATGCATTTCTGGTGATGGGGGGAAAAATCCAGAAAAGATGGGGCTGGAGGCTGCCTGATCCTAGGAAAGGAATCTGGAGTCCAAGAGCGACTCAAAGGGAGGAGGAAGGTGAGGCCCCAGGGAGCAGGACGAAAGTTTCTGGCATCTCTTTGCCTTTCTCACCAGTGCCCCCCTCAAGGCCTGATGCAGCCCAGGGAGATGTAGCCGGAGGAAGTCCATGCTGTCTGCCTCTGTGTGTCCAGAAAGCTGACAATGACCGTCCCCACCCACAAAGACAAGCCAGTCTTCCCCAGGGCCCAAGACACTTCCTCTTCCCCTGTCCCTCCCTGACTCATCCCCCCCAGGCCCTGCCTACCCCTACCCCCAGCACCCATGACTGCCTCCACCTCAGCTTGGGAAATGGGTATGCATCACACAGGGACTCTGGTGCACATTTGGATCTCACGGGCAAAAGAGACATTGAAAACAAAAAGGTAGGAGCAGGAGACCTCAGAATTGGAGGTGGGGGAGGGGGCATGTGGCAACTCAAGTGACTCTGGTCTCAGGTCTCATATTCACACCTCAGCCATTTCCGCCTCCCCTGAAGCCACAGCCTCTCTGAGAGAGGAAGTTGGGGTTTGTGGTTCCTGTTTTGCCTGGGCACAAGGAGTAGGAGTGAGGAGGAGGCTGGCTCATTTCAGCATCATTAGTGCTTCAGAGGGGAAGATGGGGCTGGAATGGTGGCCCTGAGTGGTGGCTCCCCTCATCTATGGTTATTCTTGCAAAGAACTTGTCTAAACTTTGCATTCTGGTCGGGTTACCTCCCACGCTCCACTGCTCCACTCCGTGGGTTCCCTGAGGGCAGAGCCGCATATTAGGCAGAGCCCTGCAGCAGGAGAAGCACATATTTCAAACTATCATCTGATGGCCTGGCGGCAGGGGGACCGAACTGGCAGAGGTGAGCACAGGCTTTTGGCTGCCCAGAGCAGAAATTAGCAGGGGAAGGATGTGATGAAGGGAATTCTAAGGGACTGAATGGCTCCTTATTGTACACTATGTGAAATTACCTTGATTCACTCTTCCCCACCCCCCTCTCAATCCCAATCAGGGCCATTGCACGAGATCACCACATCAGTCTTAGTCCTTGGAATCAATCTCCGGGTCTAAGCACCCTTGATGGAGGCAGGAACCCTGCTCAATGGCTTTCTGCACTTGGTACTTCATTTCTTATCACTATGGCCGCCTTGAGGTCTAAGGCTGAGCTTCAGCGATATTCCTTGTTTTGCTTTGTTTTATTTTGGCTTTCTCAGCTGTAAAGTCAGTGGTCGGACTAACTCGGTGATCTCTTAGACGGCCTTGGATACCACCAAAAGATGACTCACCACTCTTAGGTGGGCGCTGTCTTTATTTCGGGTTTCTAAATAATCTGTAAAGACAGCAGATATCAGCAAGAATGACCTGAAACTGGTCGTCTTTGGTTTTAGTTCCGAGGGGAAAAAAAAAAA